AAAAAAAAAAAAAAATACAAACTAATCACGAGAATGGTTTTTTATTCGGTGACTTCCTTCTTATAATCGAATATAAATAAATTTGGTTTGTGATCCATATATATAAACTGCTTCAAATTAGTAAAAATTCATCGCATATAAATACTAGTCCTTTTTGGACACATGAGATTCCTAAAAGAGTTATTCACAAAAAGTATAAAAGTCTGATTTCATAGTTTAATCCGATTATTAGAGGTTATATAGGGAATTTTTCTGTGTGGTCTCTTGATCTATTTTAATCATATTATCGCAGAAAATCATCTTTAATTTGTTCCCTTTTCTTTTGTGTATTCCATGAATATCTTAACTTAATATTTCTTTAGTTGAAGGCTTGAAGCTATTTGTCTAACTCAAGTGAAGTTACTTCTTCAATTTTGATATCATCGTGAAACTTAAGAAGAAAATAAGATATTTGAATTGTGAGTGCTGATGCGGCAAATCGGGTATTAGTAGATATCCAGCTTAGCCAAAACATGTGATTGGTTGATTCATATTAATGCCACACGATTAATTTTTTTAATAATCGATTGATTGATAGATTAATTTATTCTTAGGCTAAATGAATTTCCAACCACTATCTTATCCTCTTATAATACTCTGGATGCCCACCGCTCATACATTTGCTAATGATTTAATTCCATTCTATTTGATACGACTATACATTAGCTATATAGATGTGACACAAAATTTCTCTACAGAAAATTAAGAGATGTAAAACGTAAAACCTTTGTAATGGTCGTTTGACGTTTAGCTTATAACCAAAAAGTCGTGGACCATTTATAAATGATTTCCTTTTTGGTATGATTTTTCTTTTTGTCAACGAATTAGTATATTTAGAACTTTGCATTTTGATATCTTGATGATGTGATTCATGTTTTGACTTTATAATGAAAATATAATAAAAAAATACAAAACAAAAGTGGAAGACATCTGGTTTCTAGGTTTAAATATGATAATGCAAAAAAGTACGTAATACGTACAGCGAAAGGACGAATCAGAATAACAAAGCCAACTCATTGACGAAAGGAGACAAATTAATTGATCGTATTTGTTTATTGATAATTAAGTATGTAATTAATTAAATCAAACACTCCAAGTCCAAGATTTTTAACCCCAAACAAAAGTAGGTACACGTCAATGTTCATGATGTACCGCTTAGCTTTCCCGAAAGCCAAATTTTGGGGGTAATTTAGTTTTTGATTGTAATTCCGTTTTACATACCACCGCTAAAAAAAATCAAACAGTTTTATCTAAAATTAGACCCCGTGTATATGTGGATTTATTTATTTTTATTTTTAAATCACGGAAGAATATTAAACAAAATTTGATCAATTTTAAAAATAAGAAAATAATATTAAAAACCCGATAACAAATCTCTAAATAAAGATATGTAGTCTTTTACATTTTTATTTTGAATTCATGATATGAAATAGAAAGATTTACATGTGTCTAAATCTAATCGACTCATTATTTTATGAAACTTTGATTATTCCATGATGAAATCTTTATTTTTAATATTGTTTTAGCTATCAAAACATGGAAAATTAAACTATATAATATTAGAAGATCAGTCCATTATAAAATTTTTTTTTTAATCTTATTTAGTTCCTTAATAGTTATTTTGTTAGTTTTCTATTTATATTGTTTCTTTTTCGATTTTGTTTTTGCCTCTGACCATTATAAATTTTCATTTTCATTATTAGTTAGTTGTTTTAATATTATTTTGTTAGTTTATTTATTTATGTTACTACATTTTTCCAATTTTCTTGTGTTGACACATGTCATCACTTCATCAAATATTAGACACATGTATCGATCTAAAGTTAAGTATTCTTCATTGATATCTTTAACTTTTAAAGACATGAATTTTATTTCTTAATGAGAAAGAAACTTAAAAAATATAGCTTGTTATATATTGTTTTTTTTTTTCATTTTCGTAATGGGAATGTGTTTTTTTATTCCTTTTCTTATTGGATGTAACATTTTTTAATTATTTCTTCCTTTTTATAGGGTTCATGTAACCAATTTCATACAGTTTTAGGATATTTAGTTTACATACCTATTACATGTACTAATAGAATTTTTTTAAATAGGAGTTTATATAACCTATTCCATACAATTTTAGGATATTTAGTTTACATACCTATTCCATGTACTAATAGGAATTTTTTATTACATTATTTTCATTTTATTATATAAAATTTCGTTTTTATTATAAGATATTAAAATTTACCCTTTAAAATAAAAAATTTCCTTTTTCCGAAGACATGTGTCACGATCTTAACGGATATAACATTAAAAGTGACACATGTCGCAATCCTATATTTTATAAAAATTATACGTGTCGCAACCACATCGTGCGCATCCAGCTTTATATAACATGATATGAATTTTCATTCATAAAATATTCTATCAAACAATTCAAACTCCAGACTGTTGGGGAAAACGGATTCTCATTTCCTCGTACCAAACAAAATTAGACTTCCAACTAGATAAAGAGATGAAATCTGGTTTTCAGAAATTTATTGTCTTCCAACATCTTGTGTTCTTTGTAAAAAAGCAAGAGGAAATGAAAAAGGAAAACTGTAAGGTACATGTAAATGATTTCGTAATACATGGTTTGTTTTGTTTGCAATATTGTAGTATCGGTACATTTCTACCAACTAGTTCTCTAAAAAGAGTGTGCACCAAATTTTCCTTAGAATTAATGCAAGCATTTTTTTGCAAGAAAATTAATAAAAACAGAGATCATCGTATACATTTTCCTGTTTTTGAATTTATAACTAGAATAGGGGTCAATAACATTCAGAGATGTTTCATACATGGCACACAACTCATTGCCACGACGAAAACCTCTATATTTTCCTTTTTCTTTCCTGCTAATTGTAAATAGTATGGCCCTGGCTGTTAGTTTTAATATCTGTAAATGTTTTTTAAAATGTGAAATTATTAAAATATCAATTTAGAAAAGTACCTTCAAATTTATTATTAGTGGAAATTTAATAGTCAGTGTTTTTAAAATGATTTTAGGGAAATTGCAAGGAATATACACAGATAATTGTGAAATTAAATAGCAGTCATTGTCACCTTTTCACAATTACTGTATAGGAAGAAGAATACCATTTTAACCCTACTACTATTTTGTGTAAAAAAAAAATCGATGGAGGTGAAAAGGATTATTTTGGTGGGACCTCTTTGGAAATATTATTAGAGTCTAAAATATTGCAGTGAAGCTTAAAATATTTATAATACGTAACGAATTTCAAGTAATATGCTAACACTAACATTATCACAATATCATATTAAGTAATCAATAATTATCATAATTTGATATTAGTTTGCATAATAATCAAATAAGTTATCACAACATCTTAGTTAGCATAATATGATATTAGTTAGCACGATACTCAAAATAGTTATCACGATATCACATTTGTTAGCATGATAGTTAAATAGTTAGCATAATATCATATAAATTAGCATGATAATCAAAATTGTTATCACAATATATTACTTTAAATTAACATGATAATAGGAAAGTTAAATAGTTATCATGATACTAATTGAGAAATTTTATGCAATACACCTCATGAGGTGTAAATTTTCAAAACTACATCTATAGTGTGTCAATTTTCAAAAATACACTTTTCCTAATTTTAATATATATGTTTGGGTTCACTAATTCTAGAATAGGGTTTAGATTTTGGGGTTTAGGGTTTAGATTTAAGGGTTCATTGTTATATTTTAGGGTTTATATTTTAGGGTTTAGAGTTCTTTTATTTAATGAAAAAGTGTAGTTTTGAAAATAAACATCATAGAGGTGTATTTTTGAAAATTAGCACCTAAAAATGTGTAGTTTTGAAATTTCTCCCTACTAATTAGCACGATAATCAAATAAGTTATCACAATATTATATTAGTTAGCATAATATTAGTTAGCACGATAGTCAAAATAGTTATCACGATATCACATTTGTTAGCATGATAATCAAATAATTATCATAATGTATAAGTTAGCATGATAATCAAAACTGTTATTATAATATATTATATTAAATTAACATGATAATAGGAAAATTATCTATTAAAATCACATCAATATCTGATGATGAATAGTGAAATCCATTGTTGATTAAATATTGTGATGTTGATAAATAAAGTTATTAACATTTTTACATGATAGTAAGTCTCATATAGGTAAATGGCATCTTATGTAAATATGTTAGAAAAAAAAAGATAGTTTTGGTTAAAAAAAATTCTCTCTGCTAGAAAAACTAATTATCATGTTATTTATCCATATACCTAATTGTCAGATCATTTGTGTATATTGATTAAATTTTCCCATGATTTTATTGTGTTTTTAGATTAAAAAAAACTATAGTATGGTTATCAATAATATTTCTAAAACTGTGCCTTCTTCTTCAACTGTGCCTTTCGTTTTGGCATATTTTTGAACTTTTGTTTATCACATTTAGACCGAGTGTCTATTCTTGTTGTTCCTTTTGGATGCAATAAAAAACAAATTCAGTGAAAAAGAAAAATGTTTGATTGAATACACCCCTTTAGTCTTTAGTCATGAAAAAAAAAAACAAATTCTTGTTGTTCCTTTTGATGTGTGAGCCCAAAGACTTTTAATGATACGCTGAGAAATCAGAAACTACGATTATCATATCATTATCGTGATTTCTAATTTTCTACTAGCTTAAGCAATATCAAAACCAATACATGCAATGCCATAATATATATAAAATCTCAACCATACATCCAAACCAGAATCTGTCATTATAAGGCCATAAATAATAGTTTCACAAGTACACAACACAACTTCATACTAAGTAAGTCTCAAATTATTCCAACTCGAACCAGAGATCTCATCAGACGAAAGCCAACTTATGTAAATTGTTTGGGGTTTATTTGAAACATTTGGTCAGTCGAGAGAGATCAAAAGGAACTTTTTACAAATCACTTCCACTTCTTGAATTTACCTCCTCCAAACATTCCATGCTTCCCATGCTTGAACTTTCCATGCTTCCCGTGCTTGAACTTACCATGTCCATAGCCATAGCCACCATGACCATAGCCACCGTGACCATATGCAGCGTGTCCGTAAGGACCGTGAGAGCCATGAGCTATGTGGCTAGCTCCATAGGCTGCTGCAGCGCCTGCAATCATACCGCCAATTCCTCCTGCGTGCCCTGAAACAAGTAAATGTAATTACATGAAGCAAGACACCAAAAAGGGGCAATGATAGTGTGAATATCAATCTACGAAGTTGTCTTTACTATGCACAATCGATTCAAAGGAATAGTGGCATGTAACTGAACTATCAAAAAGTTCTAATTAAATGGTGCTACATGAAAACACTTTCAAAAACTCTATCTTTGGACTACTAATATAACCAGTTCGTAGTAGATTCTTTGATAGTGAAGTCAAATGTGTTGTTCCTCAGTAGCTCAGTGGTAGACGTTTCAGAGTAAACATTTTAGCAATTACATTACAATCTCTTCCATAACAGTAACGGTCAATGACTATTTATTCCTGTTAGCAACCACTAAATAAACAGATATGATAAATTATGATACTAAACCTCAGATTTTTCACCAGGAACATATAGAAAAACTGTCCCTTTTTAAAGTAACATCTACCACACATATTCTGATACCAAAATTTGTTTTTTTCGCAGCAACATATAGACCACATTTATGTTTCAAGTTTCAACTTCTACCTAAAGCTGACATTAACAGTTTAACACCATAACAATACCTGAGTGATGAGGAGGAGCTGGATAGCCAGCAGGAGGATAACCTCCATAACCGGGTGCAGGAGGGTAACCACCATAACCAGGAGCTGGAGGATACCCACCGGGTGCAGGCGGGTATGCATTCGGAGGATAACCAGCGGGTGGGTAAGCACCAGGTGGTGGAGGGTAACCTTGCTGTGGTGGGTATCCAGCGGGTGGATATGCTCCAGGATATCCAGCTGGTGGATACCCAAAAAACCCTTTGTCTTTGTCACCGTCCCCTTCACCATGCAAGCCTTTGTCTTTGTCACCATCACCTCCCATGTTTTCTCTAAATCAGAGATAAAACCTACAAAACGAAAACCATCGATTCACGCCAAAAGATCAATCCCAATTCAAATTGCACAAACCAAGCTTGACCTTTAAGATTTTCATCAGAGGATCAAACAGACGCACAAAATTCAAGTAACGAGCTAAACCAGCAATGTAATTGACCATTGATTAGGTCAGAGATCAACGTAATTAATCCAAATCAAATTTTGCACAAACGAAGCATGAACTTCAAGAGCCTTCATCAGGAGATTAAGCAGATGCATCAGAGTAAGATAAATCAGCAAATCAATTTCAGGTAAAACCAAACCAAAATTTCCTCAATTCGAAATTGATTTCTCGGTTCTCAGCAACAGATAAACGCTGTTTTTCAATTGTGATAACGAATCAAGAGAGAAGGCGATGATCCAAGTATACAAATTAGACAATCGAAGCTCCGATTGATCACAGAAACAAAATTGCGAGTAAAAATAAGCAAATCTAAAGGGAAAAGAGGAGAGAGCCTTTGTACCCGAAACGAATCGCGAAAAATGTCGAAACTGAATTGCAAGAGAAAAGAAAAGACGTGTCGAGAGATATATATTGTTGATAACTTTGCTTTACCCATACAATATTTTCCTTACGCGGCACGGTTTCCAAACAAGTTATATTTTCATTTTTAGTCCTCGGAGTTTACTAGGAAACACAACCCGACCCTTTAATATTAATGGGTCCAAATTTTGAACTCCAAGAACGACAAATCCGCACATGTATCGGTTAGCAGCAATGTTTTTCATTTTTCGGAAATTTATATTTGAGTCTTTCAATTAATTACGTTGATTGAATGGTTTTTGTTTCCAATTTGGACGATTATAAACTTATTATGTGTACTTATGAAATATAATAAAAACTGGGGGTCAAAAGACAGAAATACAAGAATATTTTCTAACGTAATTATTAAGCGTTGAGATCACGCGTAATGGACCCTTTGATTCTACGAACATATTACATGTACATACGTATGGGATCTCTCTTTAATTGCATTAGTGGATAAATGCCAAATGAATCGAATCTACACAAATTTATTATTTAAATTTTTTCTCATAAAACAGTATAATAACACATAAGTTATAGCATATAAAACAATTTAGGCTATGTAGATATGAATATTAAAGAAAATATCATTAAAATAAACATTTTCTAGCTATGTTAATGTTTATCTAACTAAATAAATACTGAAATTTCTGAATCCATTCATAATTATATAACTCATATAATCTAAACATTTCTTAAGATTTTCAATACATCTTTCATTTAACAGTCAGTATTATAACTGATATATAGATTTTAAATTCTTGTTTTGCAATTATAAACTAAACTGATGTTTTGAACTAATCATCTACTAGACTACAGTACATTTGTCATCATAATCAGTTCCGAGTTCTGACCAGGATAATTTTGCGATATGGTTTACATGAAACGAGATGCTCAAAGAAAACATATGGAAGAGCAAAAAAATATCTGGTAATTACTAACTTTTATAAAACTACTTATTACCAATAGAGATCTACTGGAAAAGTTGTAACTTGATTACTAGAAGTAACACACTTTTGAGGACAATAGAGCACATAACAGAAAAATATCTGCACAGCATAACTTACAGAGCTTAAAAACTAGTAAAAACGAAAGCTACTTTTGATTCATTGCATTCCATAGATTTGCTAGCGTAAGAACACAGACAGAACCAGAGTAAGAGAGAGCGAGAAGACCTTTTGAGGAAAAGGCTGAGACTTTTGATCAGCAAAACCCAAAGGAACGTTCTAATTCACTCTCATTCTCGCAGTTGTATCCAAATTCAAAAGCTCGATCTGCGGACATTAGAAGAGACAAAACCATTCACTTATATGTTGCAGCTAAGCAGAATAAACGGGAAAAGGAGGATAGAGAAGAGAGATAGATATGTACCAAAACGGCCTTTTTCTGTCAATATTTCAGCTTCAAGTTCAGCTTCTTCCTCATCAGTGTCTGAATCAAGTTCTAAGAGCAAACTATCAGAACAAAGCCCTGAGATAGTACACACCATGATCCCACTCTCTCGACAATATGTTCCTTCCTTGCAGTTATCATCGCATACTGGTTATAACACCATTACCAAAAAGAGAAACAAGGTCAGTTTGGAGAACAAAAACAACAAAATTTTACATTTTTACACCGTTTCATTTTCATACCATGAACATTCCCCGTCTCTTTGCATATGAACACGTCGTCAATCTCATGGTAATCACATTTTGTTCCCACACATTCATGGCCAATCACAGCTTTATCCGCAAGTCCTTTGCTTTTCTTCCACAGAGATACTTGGTCAAGTACAGTTTTGTCAAGAATAATCCGGTCATCCACCATCTACAAAAACATTGACAAACAAGAATGTGAGAATACATCGAAACGATGATTGTAGTGCGCAAAATAAAAACAACTGAAATTGCAGATGTTTACCTCGGACGGAAGAGGTGCTTGGCTTCTCTTTGCTGATTGCATTTGGATGTAATACTCTTTGAAATCCGCCGGACAGGTTCTCACAAGTTCGATCATGTCCTTCTCATCACGCTAAGATTCAACAAGAGAAATGAATTACATACATATGAATGACCTCAAAATAATCCATACTCTTCAACAATGCAATATTACTTGTCAAGAAACAAAAGTGAGGAACTCACATCGATATAAAGCTTCTTCCAAGCACATTCACGTAACTTTCTAGTTGTAGGCATTCGACCCCAGCGGATACAGTACCTGCAAATAAAAAATTAATCAAAAGTGTATCGCTTTCATTTTGAGTGCAAAGTATTGATTTTGAAAACTAAGATTATCAACAAGAATACAGAATTCGAGAAGTGACTTACAAGCGACGCCACAAGGATTCATCAGAGGCAGCGAAATTGAGAAATTTACACACCATAGAGCATGATACAAGATCCTGTAATCGCATTCACACAATTAAGATTTGATGATTCTGAAGTCAAGATAAACAATTATTAATCTTTAGGTTGAGTAGCAAGTGAACAATATACCTCAGAGGATAAAAACTTGAGGATTTGACGAAATAGCTCTGTAGGAACTTTGCTGAAAACTCCACTCTCTATTCTCTTTGCACCATTTCTATCTTTGTTAACATCTTCCTTCTGATCTCCATCCTTCTCTTTAGGGTTTGCTTCTTCTTTCTCTTTCTCAAGACATTGTCGTTTAGGTTCAGGTTCTTTTGTTTCTTCTTCATCCTTTACCTACAACAGAAAGAGAACAAAACTTCAATTTTTTACACAGAAACATGAACAAGAGGTATTTGATATGCAAAATTTCGTATAAGTATGCGTAAGAGATCGACCAAACCCAAATTCGATGAAATTAATTAAGGATGCACACAAACCAATCATCAATTACACGGAGAAACCTCAAATCTACAATCTAATCACAAATCAAGGAGTTTAAGTCCAAAAAAAACTCCATCGAAATCGGAGAAAATAATGAACATGTTAAGAAAACGATAGAATTGAGATACGGTTTCAGATTCAACGATAAAATCCAAAGATTTCGGGGGAATAAAACTGAAACCTGGGTGAAATTAAAAAAAAAAAATTGAAGAAGAAGTATACCGATTCGACTTCTGATTCGAGGAACCGAGCGAAACACTCGTCTTCATCATCGGAAAAAGACATGCTGTTGGGTCGGTGAAGATCAGATCTCCGGCGACGACGGTTTGTTATATACGGCTGAGGAAGAGACAGAGAGGGATCAGAGAGATTCAGAAGATTGGCGATTGGAACCGGTGGCGTGAGATTGGAGACGACCACGGGCCGAGCAATTTTGGTTAATGGGCTTTCTAATAATAATTATGACTAAGCCCATATATAGGTCGAAGCCCCCCTATTTTCTTTTCGTCATTATTCATTAACCCAAATTAGTTTGGCTCCAAAATTCCAACTCATGATTTTGTAGAATAGTTATTTATTTATTTATTTATTTATCTATATTTCGTTAATTAAAATATTATATTATTAGGAGATTAATTTATATAAAATTGATAAATTTTGAAAGTTAAGAGATTTGTTAAATTTATAAAGAGTTGTTAGATTTGGAGAGAATTGTATATTCGTAAAATCAATCAAAATATTTTGTTATAATGGATTTTGAAAATCTAGGGGTATTATTGGATGTTGTATTTGAAATGAACTGAAATAGGTTTAATAATCCATTATATTTAAAACTTTGTGTTATTTTAAGAATCTATTTCAGTTGATTTTCTAAAATCTCTGCAATATCTCATGGATTCTGTTTTTAATAATGTACTCATATAAATCTATTGAAATTCATTTCAAATGACTCAATAAACAAATGATTTTAAAAGTTATTTAGTTTTGAATATCAGTGAATTATCTGTATTTGAAATCTTGATTGAATAACACTGGATTTGAAACTCTATTAATGAAAGATTATAAATCAGATATCAAATAACACTGGATTTTAAAACCGGATTTGAAATCTTGATTAAATAACACTGGATTGGAACTCTATTTAAGTTCATTTCAAATACAACACCCAATAACACCCCCTAAGTGTTATAGGTAGTATTTTGGAAATCTTTTTCCATAAGTTAAATTATTTAAAATCCATATCCCAATAATAAAGATTTTAATGAATTCATGAAATCATTACAACACAAACTTTTTGAATAACAAACTGATTTTGTATGGACTTTAAAAATCACTAAACCAATAATAACAGATTTTAATAAGATTGTTAAAATTCATAAGCCAATAACAAAAGTTTCTGAAAATTTTAAGAATTCTTACAAATTCATCTACCAATAACCCCAGGAGATCTCCCATCTCTGAGCAGATTTGGAGCAATATAAGTTTGGACTTTGTTTTGTTGATGGTCTACCCTTATTAAAAGGGTTTAGCGTGATAACTGTGGTGGTTGATCGTCTTAGTAAGTACGCACACTTCATTACCTTGAAGCATCCTTACACAGTCAAGACCGTGGCCGCTAGAGAAGTTGTAAAATTGCATGGGTTCCCGAACGCTGTGGATTCTGATATGTAGAATGTTTCTCAGCAGTTTCTGGCCTGAACTGTTCATGTTGCAAGGAGCGGTGTTACACAAAAGCACCGCTTATTACCCTCAAACAGACAACCATACAGAGGTGGTTAATAGATGTTTAGAGACTTACCTTCAGTGTTATGCAGGCAGGAAACCGACGTCATGGTTTTAGTGGTTACCGTGGGCAAAGTACTGGTATAACTTCTCTTATCACTCATCTATTAAAATGTCTCTATTTTTTGCGGTAGAGAAACTCCTTAGATACTAACGATGGTATATAGTACTGTAAATAATACGTAAAATAAAGATTTAATATTGTGATCTTGTTTTTAATAGTATATAGATTTGTTCAGCAAGAACTTGTTTTTTCAAAAACTTTTTCATTTATATGAAACATCAAGAAAATATCATATTATTTACTTTTTATCCAAAGTATTTAGCTTAAAATTGTGATCTTGTTTTAATAGTATATAGATTTGTTCAGCAAGAACTTGTTTTTTCAAAAACTTTTTCATTTATATGAAACTTCAAGGAAATATCATATTATTTACTTTTTTTTTCCAAAGATATATCATATTATTAGATCCTGTAATCTGCAGAATAAAGAAATTATTACTAACTTCAAGTCTTCAAAATTTAACTGGAAACATTTCTAATTTTTTTTTGAGGAATTATATCTGAAGCACACTTAAGAAAGAGTAGGATATGTAAAAATATTTGACAAATGTAATTTTGATATATTTCAATTTTGGTTTTGGTAAACTTTAATTAAGAAAACAATCTGGCTAAGACTGAACAAAAAAAAAACATTTTTATTCTTGTCTTCAACTGTTATTCAACTGTTATAAAGAAAGCCATGTCTTCCGAAATGATGAAGATCAAAATAGAAGAGCAAGCCAACGAGGCAACGACTACGACAATACAAAGAAGATAATTCGAGCCAGATAATTCCGACTTCAAAGCAGAGACTTTAAGTTTTCGGTTTTGGTTCCCTTCTTTGATTAAAAAAATATGGCAGCTCCGATGGCCGTGAGCGGCGGCGATGCGACGGAGAGGGAAGCTCGAATGGCGCACTCTGCAATGACCTTAGTTCAGGTCATTAATGGCGCTTACCATGTGATCACGAAAGTAGCTCTTAACGTTGGTATCAATCAGCTCGTCTTTTGTGTATTTCGCGATCTTCTTGCTCTCGCCATTCTCGCACCTCTCGCTTTTTTCCGCGAAAGGTTTCATTTTTTCTTTTCTTACAGTATCTTCCTCCTTCTTTCTCATTTTTGGTTGAATTGTCTAAATCTTTATAATCTACTAAGTTTCTGATTTCTAAAACTCATATAGTTTCTTGGTTATTTTGTCCGTGTGATGAATGTATTGAAAATTCTGGGTTGGACTTGGATTTGATGGATTAAGATCTTGTTCTGTTTCACTTCCAGTTTTACTAAATTTGATTTGGATTCAAGATCTTGAATTTCTGAGGAAGATGTTATCTTGGTTAATTTCCTTATTTGGGTTTTATTCTCAGTCTTAATCATGCCCTCTCTGTCTTAATCTTACTCCTGAAATAGCAAAATTTGCCTGATGATTGTAACTTTTCAGATTCTATTTAAAGACAAAAATCAATAACAATGGTTGTTCTTTTGATAATCATGTAGAGGAATCAGACCTCCAATGAATAAAAGCGTCTTCTTTTCACTCTTCTTTCTCGGTTTAGCAGGGTAAGTAACCAACATTTGATCAACCAGATTCCAATTATCTTTTTTTTTTTTTTTTTTAATCATTCTTTTATGCAGATTCTCATACCATTAAATCTTAATCTTGATAGGATATTTGGGAACCAACTACTATTTCTCATGGGTTTATCATACACAAATCCAACTTATGCTGCTGCTATACAACCATCCATCCCAGTCTTCACCTTTCTGTTAGCTGTGATGATGGGGTAAGTATCATCTTCCTCAACATTACCATCAAATGTTCAATCTTTGAGAGTCTTCCTTTTTTTGTATGCAGGACAGAGAAAGTGAACTTGTTTACAATCGAGGGTCTAACTAAAGTTGGAGGTACACTCGTTTGTGTCTCCGGTGCGTTAGTGATGGTTCTGTTCCGTGGTCCGGCCTTGTTTGGAGATAAAGCTGCAGACTTTACAGCGGGAAACAACCTAACCCTTGATAGGAATCAGCTTGAGACTCATGGGTGGTTAGTCTCTAGCTTTCTTGGTCTTGGGCTTGATCCATGGCACATTGGTGTGATATGCTTGATTGGAAACTGCATGTGTATGGCTGCTTTTCTCGCTGTCCAAGCACCGGTTTTGAAGAAGTACCCTGCGTACCTTTCGGTTGCCGCTTATTCCTACTTCTTCGGTGCGTCGATAATGATCACAACAGCTGTAGTGTTTGTTAGAGAGCCTAAAGATTGGAGCTTGACACAATCCGAGATTCTTGCTGTTATCTTCGCTGTAAGTCTTGAACTCAAAAGTTTGGAAATTGAGCACACAAGATTAGAGCTACTGATTGATCTGAGTTTGGGTGTTTTTGTTCCTCAGGGAGTGTTTGCATCAGCTCTAAACTATGGACTCTTGACTTGGTCTAATAAAATTCTTGGAGCTGCTTTGGTTTCTCTATACAACCCTCTTCAGCCTGCAACATCAGCCTTTTTATCGTCTGTTTTCCTTGGCAGTCCAATCTATCTCGGAAGGTTTTAAAATTTATAACCTTGCTTGCAATTTTTGGTCCATCCTTGCATAAACACACACGATCTCTTTCTCTCTTCTTCATAGATTTAAATTTCTTAAAACATGATTTTCTTTCTCTGCGCAGCGTTGTGGGCGGAATCCTCATCATCTCGGGGCTTTATATGGTTACTTGGGCATCTTATAGAGAACAACATGCAACAGTTTTATTAAAAGATCCTGAAATCTATGATGCTTTGATCGAACATAACCGGCTAGCACAGAACACAGAGCTTAACCGAGAGAAACGATGAATCATTTTGAAAAGACATTTTGTTAGTGTACAAAGTTTTAAGACTTTTTTCTTACATGAATGGTAGTATTTAAAAATACATGATCTATACAAACTTGGAATAAAAACACACAGAGTATTTTGGCTTCCACAAACTACATAGACTATTTATCATATTCATTTTTTTTTTATTTACTAAGAGGTTCTGGCGGAATGGCCGAAGCCCGTATGTCCCCATAGACTCGGAACCACAACATGTAATATTAGTTATATCCCAGGTGGCACTCGATCCTGAAATCTCTAAGGGGGTTATTGGGAATAGAATTCTAGTGGATTTTGAAAGTTTAGAGATTTTAAAAATTTGTGTGGATTCTTGTGGATTGTCATTGATTTTATGAATTCTTATCAAATAATTTGTGTGGTTTGTCATTGATTGTCATTGACTTTTGAAATTCGTTTTGCTTCTATAATTTGCTTCATAAGGCAATAAGTATATTTTTGAAAATAAATTTTCCTAACTTTCTTTTGCCGTGGTCATATAAGAACACCATTCTTCTTTTATTTGCATTGGTCTTCCATCTTGTTCTTTGGCCAAATACAGGTAATCTCTTTGCTTGTACTCTTATTTTACATGTGTTTTATGTTGGATAGTTTTTCTTCTGTTCGTATGATTTCTCTTCAGCCACCGTATATAGTTCCATTTTTTGTTTTATGTTTTTCTGTGTACTATTTTTTGTTTGATTGTGTTATGCCGTAGTTTTACCTTTTAGTTTTATTTGGTTATGTTCATATAATTGTGAAAACAGTTGTGTCATAATCTTTATACTAACAATGATCAGCTCTGTAATAAGATTACGATGGGTGATACTCAGCAAAACAAAGAAAAAAGTCCATATAGTCCATGGACTCCAGCAGAGACAAAAGTATTGGTTGAGCTACTTGTGGAGGGAATTAAACACGGATGGCGTGATGCATCTGGTAACATGAATAAGGCAACGGTGGAAAATAAGATACTACCAGTGCTCAATGAAAGAATTGGATGCAACAAAACCCATAAACACTACCAAAGTAGAATAAAGTACTTGAAAAGCCAATACCAAAGTTATTTGGATCTTCAACGTAACAGTTCTGGCTTTGGATGGGATCCAGAGACGAAAATGTTTACAGCTTCTGATGAAGTGTGGAATGGATATTTTAAGGTATGTCTTTGTTTTAAATAAAAGTTTAGATAATAATAAGAAATTCATAGTTGTACCCTAAGCTATATATGTTAATGTAATTTGACAGGCACATCCAAACCACAAATACATGCGATATGACTCCCACGACCAGTTTGAGGATCTGAAAATCATATTTGATGGTACAGCTGCCACCGGTAGTAATGCCATTGGACTGGATGATACTACTGATGCTTGCACTTACCGGGTTGGTGATAATCAAGTGAATGATAACTTGATTTCTTGTGACAGCGGCGACGAGCTTAGTGACGCATCACCCATTTCAGACAAACATAGAAGAGGTCGTGCAGAAAAGCTTGTCCCAAGAAAGAGATCCAAAAAGGAAGCGTACAATAATTCAGAGGAGCAGAAGAGTGATAACAATGATTCTGTGGTCACAGTGAGCAACAAGATCCTTGGTATCATACAACAAAGAGAAGAACGACAACAAAAAGAAGCTGAAAAAAGAGAAGCAGAGAAAAAGAAAAACAGTGTCTGGGATGCTATGAAAGAGATCACCAATTTGGATCAGCCTGCCAAATTTAAAGCTGTTACCCTTATCTATTCCTTGGGAATGAAGGATGTATTTGCATATATGAACGCTATGGTTGGATTCAGACCAATATTAGAGCATCTCCATCGGTGTAGATACACCAGTCTCATAGCAATAAAAATAAATGAAAAATATAAAAAAAAGGAAGAGAGAGTGTGTTAAATAGGCTGAGACGTATCTCATGTAACATACGTATCATAACTCAGTGTATACGTGTTGCTGATTGTATGGCTGACACACTTTTATATTTAAAATTTAATTATTAATTTAAATTAAACTAATAAAATAATTTTCTGATACTCATCCCTACGTATACATTGGTGTAGATACACCAGTCTCATAGCAATAAAAATAAATGAAAAATATAAAAAAAGGAAGAGAGAGTGTGTTAAATAGGCTGAGACGTATCTCATGTAACATACGTATCACAACTCAGTGTATACGTGTTGCTGATTGTATGGCTGACACACTGTTATATTTAAAATTTAATTATTAATTTAAATTAAACTAATAACGTATCACTGATGGAGATGCTCTTAGCTTAGAGTGATCTTTGCTTTAGCTGCACTTGGTCTTTTTCTCTATAAGCTTTTGGTTCTTTTTTTTCTGTGATATTTGAGACATTGTTTTTGAGTTTTGGTCATTTCTTTTCAGTAATATTTCAGACTTTGTTTTGCAAATCTTTATTTATAAAAAATAGATTTGGGTTGATCTTTAACTTGTCACAGTTCGTATAATGTGATTCTGATTTTTTGAGTTTCTTTAGAGGCTAAGGACGTGATCCCGGAAACCCAAACGAGTTATTCAATCTGCGGCATGCATCTTTGAGGAACGTTATCGAAAGAATTTTCGGTATTTTCAAATCTCGTTTTCTGATTTTTAAATCTGCTCCTCCTTTCTCTTTTAAGACGCAAGCAGAATTGGTTTTAGCTTGTGCTGGATTACATAATTTTCTTCGTAAAGAATGCCGATCAGATGCTTTTCCCGAAGAAGTGATCAACACAGACCCTAAAGAAGTAAACATTTTTGAAGATAATGGAGACATAGGCACTCTTGAATCTCAGGAAAGGGAATATGCGAACAATTGGAGAAACATGATAGCATCTAAAAAAAATAAAAATAAATGATAGCATCTAGTATGTGGGCAGATGCATTGGGCAATGGAAGTCAGCGATGATGATGTTATCGTATCTTTTGTTTTTTATTATGATGTTATTTTGGTGTTATGGTTAACTCTTGTTGTGTTGTTTGACGTTTTTTGTTTTATGAAGTCAATTTTTTTTTCATACTGATTAGTAGAATCTCATAGATATATACATGGTATTTTGAAAGTTGAGTCATATGAGTAAAAGTCTCAAGAATTTTACTTCTAATATCAATAGATTTTAGTAGAATGACAAAATCTATGAAAACTAAACTTTTTGAATAACAAGGAATTTTGATTGGAACTAGATTTTGACCCGCGCTATGTAGCGGTGTATCTTTTTTTTTCTCTTTTTATAGTTTTAATTTTATTTTGAATACTATACCAATTATAATTAAAATTAAGAGTCATACTATTTATATTTTAAACATATAATTTATATTTTAAATTATTTTTTTCTGTTAAGATTTATGAAAACAAAATTAATCTTTTTTAGAAAAAAATATTATGTCTCATTTCTCATAAACTCTTAATATATCTTCAAATATATTTTTCTTTGCTCTTTTTCAATCTTTCAATATTAGCTTGAACAAAATAATTCTAACAAACTTGACATACTACCGGCTCTATAGATCATTGTTGTAAGATCAAATAAATTCAATTCTCTCCCAAGCAACTACTCCCTCTGTCCTATATTATAAGCTGTTTTAGCTTAAGCACAAGAATTAAGAAAATTATTTGTTTTAAAAAAGTATCACTTAATATATAGATTAAATATTATTCAACCAATCATAAAAAACACCTGCAAAATATAAGTGGTCACACAATTTTCTATAAAGTAAAAATGCATTGAAATGTTAAATTGCTTATATTGTGGGACAAAATTTATAAGATAAAACATCTTATATTATGGGACAAAGGGAGTAACTAATAGTAGATGGAGAGCCTGAATAAAGAGAAAAGTACATGATCATTATATAACAGAAACATAGATTTAATCGGTCCTATAATCTATCTTTACCCTCCCTCTCTCTTCTTTACTTAAGGTCAAAGCACATGATTATTATGTAGCAAAAAATCGCTAAGAAAGAGATCATTCTAATGGCGGAGGTTTCGCTATTCGATCGGCTCTCAACACAGCTTTGGATTTGGGACTTAACATTATCCAAATCAAATCAGACGCTTCGGACCTCGTTCGAGCTATAAATGCGCATGAGAAGATTAAAGAGATTTATGGATTATTCTTTGATATACATACTCTTGTTTCGATGTTCCTCTCAATCTCATTCACATGCATCCCCAGATCTGAGAACAACTGAGCCGATTCTCTGGCAAAGAATGCGATCGCTTGTATTCCGGTTTTTGGTTTAGCAACTATACCAATTATAACCGATTAAGAGTTTTAATGAAATTGTCGTTCAAAAAAAAAAAATCATTCTCAAGTTACTTATTAATTACTCCCTTTGTCCCATATTATAAGCTGTTGACAAAATGAATCTGAAAAAAATATGGAGGTATCTGGACTGAATTTCATCCAGATACATCCACCTTTTTTCAGATTCATTTTTCCCAACGGCTTATAATATGGGACAGAGGGAATAGCATATTATATGAGTACTATTGACGAAAATTACTTGCTCTCCATTGACGTGAAAAGAAATAACCATTAGATCGACACCTTATGCTACCACTTTCTTCGAGGTGGAGTTGGTGGATGCTTCCACCGCCATGAGACTCGGAATAAAACTACAGTCATGAGACTCGGAAGATGATGGTTACATGTGGCAAAACTGTAGCTGGTCTTATTAGATTGCAAAGATTTATAGACCCATTCAAATCGAAAACAAAGAAGAAACAACAATAAAATAATGGGAACTGGATTCGAGAAGTTTAAGTTTTTTCTCTATCATGATTTATACAATTATACTCTTCCTGATCTGGAAAATATGTAGCTTTGAGCTCAAGAGGTAGAAGTAGAACCATGGTCAAAACATGCCTCCCAAGCTAATAAATATGACCAATTATAATGTTCAATTTACTAAAACTAACTTGAAAATCTGTAATTACGATCATGAAGGTAAGATACAAACAAATATTTTTCTTACAATATTGACTTCTATAGTGTTCATGTCAATCTGTAAGAAAAGAGAAGCATTAATTTAGACCCCAAAGGATAAGAACTAATGTTATAAGACGCTGCTCTATTCATTTCCAAATCGAGAAGAATCAGAAGTTAAATTCGAAGCGAAGTATCTCTCCATGAGGCACCACGAACAGGACAATCGGCGAGTAGATTCCGATCACCGGCGCGTGAAGCCACACATGGGAAATGGAAAGTGTGTGAATACACCGCCGTGAAAATTGCAGTTCATCTTCCTAATTTCACATCTGCTGCTGCTGCTACTCTGCTAAAGAAACACAAACACATAACATTAAACCAAAAATGCTAATTTTTTAGTGTTTGAAATTCGATTCGATTCTCACTTTGGTGAAACAAAGTCTGAATTTTAGGAACTCTAAAAACCCAGCAATGTCACTCAAATATTCTCTCTTTCGAGATGAGCATAGAAATACTTTGCAAATCTAAAGAAATTGAAACTAAAAACCACCCAATTATCATTTTATTTTAACCAAAGAGAGCAAAAATCTGACCGCAGATCTTGATGGGAGCTTCCAATTCGAGAAGATTTGGTTGTTGGAGAAATATTTCTTTGGAGACAACACAGAGCTGAAAGATTTCACCTTCGCTGAGTTGAACTCCACCGACCGGCGACTTCATCGCTCGACTCCATCGCTCGCTGAGATGACCTCCACCGACCGCCAGCTCCATCGCTCACGGAGATGTGTTCTCTCAAAATTCCGGAGGGTGGACTCCGAACAATGAAAAGGAGAAGAGAGAATGAAATCGGAAGACATCCAACGGAGATTCTTATATCGTTGTCATCGAAAATGTCGAAGAAGATTGAAACCGGACCAATATGTGCTGAAACAAAAATTAAGCAAACCGGATTATGTGGCCAAATAAACCAAGACAAATGCTGACTAAAATTAATTAGAATGTTTTCATTGGTTAGAGGTTTTAATTAGGGTGTCACAGAAAACTTAAAAAATCCTAGGTGTTAACTCCTAGAGCAACAGAAAAGATATTAGTATGTTGATTTAAAAATCTTCAAACCAATAACAGAGAATTCTACTAAGATTTTCAAAATCTATAAACCAATAACAAAAGATTTGTAAAATTTTAAAACTCCTTATAAATCCATCTTCCAATAACCTCCCTAAGTTTTGCTTAAAATCTTTTTACCAATCCAGATATAGCCACTTGGTTATTATATTCAACTAGGAGAGAACCCGCGCAATGCGCAGATTTATTAAACCAAATATTTTTAATTTAATTATTCAGAACATTAGATTCGAATATATCATTTGTTTTTTACTCGAATATATTAGATTCTGTAAGTTTTGCATTTTGTTTTTTTCATATAGTTTTAAAATTTAGTTGTTATTTACGTGAAATCTTATATAGACTCATAGTGAATAGTTTCATATGTTTTTTGTTCTTTTATACAATAATTTATCGACTGGAGTTGAGTTCTTCTAATTTTCCTTATACTAACAATCATTATAGATTGATTATTATCCTACAGACTCATAGATAATAATAATTGCAATCCTTTTTAAAAGGAAATGAAATGAGCTAATTAGCCAGTAAGCCCATTTAAAGCTACCATGGAAACGAAGAGGTCCGATAAATAATCAAGCCCATCAAAACGAACAGCATTACACATAATTTTGATTTAGATTTTTTTTTTTTAAATACGAAAACGACGTCGTTTTGGTGTAAGACGAAAAAAAAAAAAAAAAAAAAGAGTGCCACGTGTCAAAGGCTGGAGATTGTCGAAACCTTATTAGTTATGTAGATTTACTCTCGAACATTCAAAATTGGCAACTCCCTAAACTATTTAACGGAAGTGATAAAGCTCCATTTGAAGTAAAAAATATGTTGGTTTATCACTATTATAAAATACCTGAATTATATGAGTTTTGAAAACATCATGTATGAAAACCTTAATATATGCATTGACATAGTTGGTGAAACATTGTTTATGGAATTAAAAAAATCTTAGAAAATCAATGCTAGAGAAAGTTCAGAAGCCTATTGATGTGTTTGTTTTTTTTGAGAAAAACAATAGTATATTGTTATCAAAACATAGAAATTGCTTATCGCAACCATTCTAATATCATTTGCCTTCCTGTTTATGCATGTATCCCTGCAGGTTGTCTTCCCAATGAGTGAAGTTGAATTTGATTAAGAATTCTATGATTGAAAAATAGTTGAATTTGATTAAGAATTCTATGATTGAAAAATAGACTATGTAAATTTAACGAATGAGTTTGTACATTAAAATGCAAAGAGAGTCGTAAATCAACAATATAAATTTCAGTTTTTTTTTTAATTTCTTATAAATCATTTATAAAGGTGGATCTAGAATAAGTTTTTTTTGTATAGTTTTAATGTGCTTTTGTGATTTTGGATAAAATATGTGAATAGGATTTGTTGGACCAAAATAGGATTTGTAATAAAATAGGGTAAAACACAGTCGTTTTTACTGTCTAGCAAGAACTATATCAGAGACAGTTTTTATAGTTAAATAATTGTTCATAATTTCATATCATAAATAGCTTCTTCCTTGATTTCACTTTTTTCTTTTTTTTTGGTTATTTGAATTTTTTATTAGAACCAAAGTTGGATTACAAAGCCCAAAAGAGGGAAGCCAGGTAAATTAACTTGCAAATACAGAGATTAAACTAAACCACAAGCATTAAAATTGAAAACAAATCAAGCAAGATCGGTTTAAGAGAAAATGAAACACAGCTTCAACCCAGGACCAGCAGATCAACGAGACCAAATTCCGAACTTCTAGAGAACCTTCCCAAGAAACTATACTGAAGATGCCCTCGGCCAACCAACAGTAGCATAAACCTCCGTGACAAACACACAAACTACCTCACAACTCAAAAGCCAAACCTTCATAACCCGGCCAGACAATCTGATTCTGCCGGGTGCGGTGGTGCCGGATGCAAGCGACTGGAACACACCTCGATAGAAGCGACTAGGACAAAAGAGCTCTCGATCATAACGGAGGATAGCGGCAAGGAGAGATGACCCGAGCAACACCGACGATCTTGAAGATCCGGTACCATTAGCCTCAGAAACACCAAGATCCGGCCAGATCTGGAAAGATAGACCAAAAAAGCAAAAGATTCATCTTCAAACTTCAAAACCTGGGCATAAAGGACTTAAGAAGAAATAGAGCCAAGAGAAAATCACACAGATCCGAACTCCGATGCTAAGGAAGCCATCGGAGCCAGGTAGCAAGGAAGAAACGGCGGAGTTTACAAGAGAGAAGGCAGAGCTTTATCTCTCTAAAACCTAATTTTCGTGACGAGTTGACCACCTTGATTTTCACTTTTACAAAGCAGAAAATAAATATATCTAATATATTATTTGCGAAGTAAAAATTTCGTTTCCATTTCCAGCCACCACGTTAACTCTCACATGGTTGATTACCCAGCTACCCTTAATGAAAATTCTTTTTTAAAATCTTCGTAATTTCCTTTTTTTATTTCGTGATTTATATTTCTTATTATTAATATTTTACGATGATATTAAATCCTAACTACCATATTACGCGCCACAATAATGTAAAAAATAGAATAATTAGAAAGAATAATTTTGTAAACCTAGGTTTCTAAACCGACGATTTTTTATATAAATAGATAGCATTACCGAGAAACTGAACAATCGATTATTCTTCAACCTAGAGGTGAGTTCCTTTTTTCGAATCCATATATCATCTTCTCTCATGTAGGTATTTCGTTTTTAGTTTGTTCTTATTGTTATTTGCTATTATGATGATTAACTGATTATTCATTAATTGCTGTAAATTCTATTAATGGATTCCTATCTAACATCTTTTTCTTTAACCTTCGTTACAATAGATTAAGGTTTGCAAGCTATTACATCCAAGAAGCTCAAAGATGGTACCAACTAAAAACAGTTCTAACCAAGAATTAGTGGGTATGTACAATTTTTTTTTTTTTTTATTCGATCTCATAAAACCCTAATTCGAGAAAGCGGTTTACCCTATTCGTTTATAATTTTTGTTGAATCAGACACCTACAAAAAAGGTTTTTACGTATGATAAGGTCTTGAGGAGGAGGTATACCGTTTCCGGTCTTGGGGCAAGGACACACGAATCTGGAATTTTTGTCAAGATTTTACGTTTATGGATTAACGATGACAAACCTTCTGTCAAAAGATTAGAGTTAATCTTATCTGATGAAGAGGTATTTCAAACATATATACTCTATGATAGATAACATTGTAACAGTTTTTTCATCTTTGTAACTAATGTATGATAAGTATCACACAGGGAACGAAGATTCAAGCAACTGTGAATGTTTCCGTTTACGACGGTTATGATTGCAAGGTGAAGGAGGGAGATTGGATTCACATCAAGAATTTTGAGGTAACTACTCAGACAGGACATTGTAAAGCTACTTGGCATCTAAATCGATTATACTTGATGCCAACAACCATCATCACAAAGATCTTATTCCCGAGCGTAAGAAACTTCTTCAATTTCGTTGATTTTGATAAAATCATTGATGGTTCACACTGCGATGATTATTTAGTAGGTATGTATATTATTTTTTTAGAATTATTACACACATATTCTGAAACTGTTTATGTATCTAATAGTCCCTGTTTCCAATTTTTTTTTGTTTTCCTTAACAGATTTAATAGGAAAGGTTGTCAACATAAGTGAATCTTCAATCTGGAAAGAGGCTTTGCTTGAAAAAACGAAAAGTTACGATGCAGATAGTATCGATCCTAGCATCAAGTTTCAAATCCGTGACCTAAGGTTGTTCAATAAGTAATTTTATTATTTGATATTTCTAGTTATTTTTGTTATTCTGATAATTATCTAAATATATTACAGCAATGTACATCTAAACTGCGTTCTATTTGGGAATAATGCAATAAAGTTTTGTAAGCAATGGATGAGAGTAAAACATGGTAATGTAATCTGCGTCATTAGGTGGGGACTAATAGAACTTCGAGCAGGTAACAATTTTTTTTTTTGTGAAATTTTATATGTGTTAGAAACATAAATTTAATTTCGTTTATTCTAATTTTAGGCAACGTAACAATTTACTACATTGATCCTTCCACGTTCGTCTTGAATCCTTCGATTCCTGAAGTTGATGTGTTCCAAAGAATGTATGTTCTTAATTTGTTTTCGTCTAATTTAGAAACTTATTAGATCTTCATTAATCAGAAACTGATTAATGGGCTTAAATTTTTTTTTCTTCCTTATGTTTCAGAAGGAATGAGCAGAGATAAAGATATAATACAGCTGAAGAATTGTGTTTGACATCTTGCTGGCCAGTGACTAGGATAGATGTCTAATTGTTAGACAATATCGGCTAGGGTTCGAATTTGGTTTTTTTGTTTGGATTGTTATTGTTTTCAATTTTGTGGAATTTACTTTTTTATATTAGGATGATTTTATATCTAATAAATATAATTTTACGTTTTAAATTATAAAATAAGATCCCTCTTAAAATTTTATTAACATTGCGTATTAGAAGGGTGATGAAATCAAAAGTACTATTCATGACCGTCAATAAGCCGAAAAAAAAATGTATATTTATTGACTATGGTGTACTTTAGGTATGGTGTGGTGAAGAGGTGGTTAGATTTATGGTTTATGGTGTACTGTTACGAGAGGGGGGGGTGGTTTTTAATATTGGGTTTGGGTTTTTATGGTAGGGTTTAGTGTCTGTTGCGATTTCTATAATTTTTCGTTTCTAATTATTAAATTATAAAAATATCATTATTTCTTGAAAATATCTAATGTAAAGTGAAACTAGATATAAATAGCAAAACATCTTAGTTGTTTAACTTTTGCACACTAATATCATGAAAATTTAAAAAATGTATTAACTTTAATTATGTTACACATTATTTGCAGAATCACAACAATTACAATAAATTATACAAGTACGAAATATAGTCATGGTCTAATGTATGTATGGGGTGGTGATGGGGTGGTTAGGATTAGGGTTTGTGGTGTACTGTACGGATTGGAGGGGGGGGGTTCTGTTATTCTTGGGTTAGGGTTTAGGGTTTTTAAATGGTGGGTTTAGGGTTTATTTTTACGTGCGTTTTTTTTAAATTTATGTTTCAAATTATTAAATATAAAAATATTCTTAATATGAAAATTAATCTACATAACTAATAAGGCTTGGACAATCTCCAGCCTTTGACACGTGGCACTCTTTTTTTTTTTTTTTTTTTCGCCTAACACCAAAACGACGTCGTTTTGGGCTTTATTTTTTTTTTTTTTTTCGTCTTACACCAAAACGACGTCGTTTTGCGCTTTATCTTTTTTTTTTCGTCTTACACCAAAACGACGTCGTTTTCGTATTAAAAAAAAAAAAAAAATCTAAATCAAAATTATGTGTAATGCTGTTCGTTTTGATGGGCTTGATTATTTATCGGACCTCTTCGTTTCCATGGTAGCTTTAAATGGGCTTACTGGCTAATTAGCTCATTTCATTTCCTTTTAAAAAGGATTGCAATTATTATTATCTATGAGTCTGTAGGATAATAATCAATCTATAATGATTGTTAGTATAAGGAAAATTAGAAGAACTCAACTCCAGTCGATAAATTATTGTATAAAAGAACAAAAAACATATGAAACTATTCACTATGAGTCTATATAAGATTTCACGTAAATAACAACTAAATTTTAAAACTATATGAAAAAAAACAAAATGCAAAACTTACAGAATCTAATATATTCGAGTAAAAAACAAATGATATATTCGAATCTAATGTTCTGAATAATTAAATTAAAAATATTTGGTTTAATAAACCCGCGCATTGCGCGGGTTCTCTCCTAGTTGATAATAATATTGCCTATTCTTAAATGAGACAAGAATTTTACGTGTTTGTTGCGATTTTAAAAAATTTTCGTTTCTAATTATTAAAATATAAAAATATCATTATTTCTTGAAAATATCTAATGTAAAGTGAAATCAGATATAAATAGCAAAACATCTTAGTTGTTTAACTTTTGCACAATAATATCATGAAAATTTAAAAAATGTATTAACTTTAATTATATTACACATTATTTGCAGAATCACAACAATTACAATAAATTATACAAGTACAAAATATAGTCATGGTCTAATGTATGGATGGTGTGGTGATGGGGTGGTTAGGATTAGGGTTTGTGGTGTACTGTACGGATGGGGGGGTTCTGTTATTCTTGGGTTAGGGTTTAGGGTTTTTTAATGGTGAGTTTAGGGTTTATTTTTTCGTGCGTTTTTTTAAAATTTATGTTTCAAATTATTAAATATAAAAATATTCTTAATATGAAAATTAATTGATAATAATATTGCCTACTCTTAAAGGAGACAAGACTTTTATGTGTTGTTATAATGAGAGTGATTACTCAACCCTCATTTAAAAAATTGAAATATTATAAAGTAAAGTGGTAAACATTGCCATTGTTTAATCAAAATATGTAAATATAAAACTAACATTGCTGTTTTTCAAACGTAAATTTTTAGTTGATAACTAAAATATAAAATAACAAGTAGAATAATCAATTATTTGAATAACGTTTTAAAAAATCAAAAACAATAGAAAAAAAGAAAAAAATATTCAAAAACTAATGGACACCAACTTATTCTTCAACCAAACCTATTGCTAGACATGCCTGTCTGAAACTATAGTGAGCTACACCTTCAACTGTCATCAAATCTGTGTAATTCCTTGGTCCTCTAACAACATCAAGTAACATTCGAAAATAGTAGGCTTCGCCAATTTCTCGGGGGACATTAGGTAAACGTACATTATCCGATGCCCTGCTACGTCTTTGCCTACGACGCCATTGTTTCTCTTTGTCAAACCAAACCCATCTAGATGGAAAATCGGTGTAAAGTAATGTCCTTGCATCCGGATTTTCCTGATTACTTTCCATCCAAGCTGTAAATTTATTCTTCCACCTATTCAATTTAACATCAAGATCATAAGTATTAAGATTTTGCGGCTCCGGAAGCTGTAGCGGTAGGATTTGCATGATCGCAATAGACTTCGTTGAACTTTATTATTGGTTATGAAGACATAAATAAAACACAAACATATATATATATATATATATATATATATATATATATATATATAAGTGGATGATGATTTAGATAGTTACGTTTTCCTTATTCTATCTTAGATGAAGATTTAAAAAGTTATTTTTCCTTATCCTAACTTATATTTGGTTATGTCTTTAACGCTGGTAGGTAAATATATTAACATTATTTAAGTAAAAAAAAATTATTCTAATAAGCTTTTCCACAAATAGTATATTTACTATTTAGATCACGATAATGATTCGGAAGTCACAAGTAATCGGTCTATATATAAAAAAAAAGGTACAAAGTAATACATAGTAATAAGCTTTTTAAAATATTGTATATTTACTATTTATATCACGATAATGATATGGAAGTTACAAGATTTCGATATTATCCATGTATATATATATATATTATATACATATATATATTAAAATATACTAAAGATAAATTTCCTATATAACCTTCTTAATAAATTGTATATTTACTATTTATATCCCGATAATGATATGGAAGTTACAAGAATTCGATATTATCCGTGTATATATATATTAAAAAAGTATTAAAGATAAATTTCCTATATACGATAGTAATTGACACTAAGCAACTTCTTCTTAAAAAAGGATAATCATAGTTTCTGACCGACCTAATCTCGAGTATTTATAAGGACCCTCTCTTTGACAAATTCATATCGCCCTAAACTGCAAAAAACTTTCTCTCTTGCTACGATGGATATGTCTTTTCTCAAGAAGAAACCAGCTCTTATGGTCAAGATCGCCGACATTAATAGAGAGATGACCAACTACAAGATCAAAGTCCAAGTGCTGAAGAATTGGAACTTGCAAAGTGGCAAGAAAATCTCAGGCATTGAGATGGTTTTGGTTGACGAAGAAGTAAGTTTGTTCATCGTTATAGCTAATAATAATATCTATCTCTCATCTACTCAAATAATGATTTTGTTTTAATATTTTTCAATCAAATATGCAGGGTACTAGAATTCATGCTTCCATTGACGAGGCGTATATTAAAAAGTTTGAAGGAAAAATCGTGGAGAATAGTTCGTATGTAATCAGCAATTTTAGTTTTTCTGATTACAACACCCTCTATCGAACTAATCCACTGGGTTTCAAGATAACGTTCTACACAACGACAAATATTGTCCCATGTGAAGGTTTCATCGTTAATCTGACGGATAAATACTTCAGATCTTTCTCAGATATACATGCTGGACTTTATAATAATGAAGTTCTAATTGATACGTCAAACTGATTTAATTTTTAAATCTTTCAAAGCTTTATTTTGGTTGGTTTCATTCTGATGTGTTCGTTTTTTAAATCTTAAAAACAGATGTAATTGGTCAAATTACAAACGTGGGAAAGATGGAGGACAAACATGTCAGAGGGAAGACACTTAAAAAACTGGATATTACTTTGCGTGATCAAGAGTAAGTATTGTAAAACATATATTTGAATATGTAAATAAAATAATCTCTGAACAATTTGTACCCCTAAATATATTAATGTGCGCGTGAATGTAAACCAATTTAATTATTTGCGAAGTAATCTAATTGTTAATTAAAATTGTGAAAATATGCGCAATTGTATAAACAATATGCGGGTCCAAAAATACATTTATTTCAGTGATACCAAACTTAAGCAAACTTAAGTACATATAAAACATGCGGGGAACAACGAACAAACTTAAGCAAACGAACCGTATAAAGTAAAAGGTGATAGGTATGCTACACTTGGACTCGCTATAGTCATCATTTTTGTTTTTTGTTGATTAGTATTATATTTTTCATTTTCATTTTTGTTGATTAGTATTATCTTTTTTATACGACAAATAAAAACAGGAGGACATTAAACTGATGAAGGAACTAAACATGGACGCTTTCAGATTCTCAATCTCATGGGCCAGATTAATTCCCAGTGAGTTTTTTATCGTTGTTGACAGTTATATTTTTCTTTACTAACAATTATTTATGCTAGATGCTTTTTTTAATCAATTTTACCAGTTATTATTTGTTGTTGTCATCAATTCTACGAGTTATTTATGTGGTCAGTTTTCAATTATATACAGGTGGAAAGCTAAAGGATGGAGTAAACGAAGAAGCTGTACAGTTCTACAAGGATCTCATCGACGAATTTCTAGCTAATGGTAAGATCATTAGTTTCCTAGCTAAGTTTAAATTCTCTAAATAAATTAAAGTTCTGCTTATAAAATAAAAATAAATTTTATGGTCCGATAATCCCACAGATATACAACCCTCAATGACTCTCTATCATTGGGACCATCCACAATCTCTGGAGGACGAATATGGTGGCTTTTTAAGCCCTACAATCGTGTAAGTCTAATTAACACATGAATAATATTTTTAGCAAACAAAACAAACACAAATATAACATTTCTAAAAAGAGTTACTATTGAATCCAGTTATTAAGCATGTTATTTTATTTTATGATTTTTATCAAAACAGAGAAGACTTTCAAGATTTTGCAAGAGTTTGTTTCGAAAAATTTGGAAGTAAAGTCAAGATGTGGACAACGATCAACGAACCGTACATTATGACAATTTCGGGTTATGACCAAGGTACCAAGGCGGCTGGACGATGCTCAAAATGGGTAAACGAAAAATGCCATGCTGGAGATTCCAGTACCGAGCCTTATATTGTTTCACATCACATTCTTCTTGCTCATGCCGCTGCAGTAGATGAATTCCGAAAATGTAAAACAATTTCGCATGATAGCCAGATTGGGATAGTATTGTCACCAGGATGGTTAGAGCCTTATCATTCTGACTCTACTGATGACAAAGAAGCAGTTCAACGAGCCCTTGCCTTTGAAATTGGATGGTAAGTTATCTAAACAGAATAAATTTCAGTAGTTTTGCTTATATATATTTTTTCTTTTTAGTATTAATTTATCTTCTATATGTATATAGGCATCTTGATCCAGTGGTTTATGGAGATTATCCAGAGTTTGCTTAAAATATGCGGGGAACAAATTACCTTCGTTTACAACGGAACAATCAAATATGTTAAAAAATTCGTCAGATTTTCTTGGAGTCAATTACTATACTTCTCGCTACGCTGCTCATATTCCTCGACCAGCAAAGCCTCGGTTCAAGACTGATAATCAAGTCGAATTGAGAGGTACGTACGCATGATGCTAATTACTAAACTTATCCATACCAATTTCAGTTTAGATTAGATGGTTAACTAATTAAACAACGTTTTTATAAATTGCTTTGAAACAGCGAGGAACCACAGTGGCCACATTATTGGACCTGGAGTACGTGCGCTTACTTATTTTTGTATGCGACATATATTATATATCATTACAAGACATCTAAATTTTGTATATATATTTTTTTCTTCAGGAAGAAAGGGGCCAAATATTGTCATACCCGAAAGGCTTGCGAAAAGTTCTGAACTATATCAAAGACAAATACAATAACATCCCTGTCTACATCAAAGAAAATGGTTAGAAAACATTTTTCTTCTGTTGATTAGTTAGAATTTTCTAACAAATGACAACGTTATCTTATCTACTTAATTACGAGAAAATTCTGGATTTTAGGACGTAATCTCAATAACTTTATAAAACGTGAATAAATTCTTAGCACTAAAGTCTGAACTTAAGTTTGGTATCACTGAAATATATGTATTTTTGGACCTAAGTTCGAAAATATATGTACTAAAGTTTGGCTTGCTTAAACTCGACACTGACTCTAAGAAAGCTGGCGGTTCAAGCGGTGATCTATGGGATATAGAGGCAGAGAAACAATCTCCTGCACAACCAGATATCACTACCACCGGAAATCATCTTCAGAGATATTGATCGAGGAAACAACACTATTAATGCTCAGCGTCATGGTAAAAACTTTCGTCACCTCATGAACCTATGGCTTCGTTGAGCTGCTGTCTTATTGCTCTGTTTTCCTGTAATATTTTATTAGCTCTCTGTTTTTTTATTACTTTTTTGCTGGAGCTAATTTGTCTAGGTTATGATTTTGTAGATGAACAGCTACAACCACATAAAGAAATTGCAAGGTTGCATCGTACATAAGTTGGAAGAAGACAAAACAACAACTCAGACTCAACTCAATCGAATCTTCTCATCATCGAAAACAAATAGATAAATAATGGTTTTAGCCAATACTCAGCTAAGAGTATAGTGATCACGTGGCGTTTCATATATCATGAAATCGCATCTACAATCTAAGGATCATCGGAATACTTCCTCTGCAAGTTAGTCTTTGTTTTGTACTGTTTTTTTATTTGATCAGCAAAGTTAGTCTTTGTTTTGTACTGTTTTTTTATTTGATCAGCAAAGTTACGTGTTAGTGAAAGAACATATGTATCTTTCACATATAAAGATGATAAGTGATCACAAAGAACATATCAACTAGCTTCAAAAAAGAATGATCGGACTAAAATAGTGAAGAATAATAACAAGAAATAAGAAGGGAGATCGTAATTTTGCTTGATCATACAAAATAGTGAAGAATACAATATGAAATGAGAAGAAAAAAACTAAATAAAAATAAGGAAAAGAAGAAAAAAATTGAAGAACAATAACAAGAAATAAGACAAAAAAACCTGAATATGAAATGAAAACGGAAAAAAAAAACAAAACAAAAGAAGAAAATAATTGAAGAATATGTGAACAATAAAGAAGTTCGAAAAATCAAAAGATAAGAAAATGAAGAATAAGAACACAAAGTCAGTTGAAAACAAATTGTAAATAAAATGAAGAAAACGAATAAAAACAGAAAATAAAAAGATGATGATGAAGAGAGGGGAAAAGAAAAAGAGAATAGAAAGTTTAATCACAATAAAAAAATGGTATAAAATGGAGGAAAAAAATATGAAAGAAGTAAAAGACAAAGTAAAAGAAGAATAAGATAAAACGGGGTTAGGGTTTACGATGTACGGTTTATAATGATAGACGTAAGGTTTAGTTTTTGATGCATTTTACAAAATTTTAATACACTACATTACCAATTACAAAGAAAATAAAAACTTCTTTTAAGAAAAAAATAAAAATAAAACCAAATACAAAACCAATTTGTAAAATGTAGGGTTCGGATGTTCAGTTTGGGGGGAGGGGGGATTGTAGTGTGGGGTTTAGGGTGTAGGGTTGTTTGGGGAGGGGGCTGTTACACTTTGGGGTTTGGGTTATAGGGTGTAGGGTTTATATTGGTGGGTGTAGGGTTTAGTTTTTGGTGCATTTTTAAAAATTTGAATTATTATGGAAGAACATCATAATTAAAAATCATTGATTATAAATTCATATTTAATTTTCTAAATTACATTCACAAATAGAAAAAACTAAAATAATTAAGTAAATCCAAAATTTAAAGATAACAAAACCAATAGATTTTTAAAAGATCTTGACTATATAAAGATATGAATTATTTCACAAATCCTTGAAAATCTAAACTATCGAATGAATTGATAGCTGAAATACAAGACTTAGACAAGAACTAATAAAAACACGAGTAAAAGAAAAGAAGATAGTGAAAAAGAAAATGAGAAATTTGGAGAAGAAGAAGAAGAAAACTCGAATATGAGGAAAAAAAGAAAAATTAAATGTGAAGAAAAGAAAAACAAAGAAAGATATATGAAAACTAGAATAATATATGTCAGAGAAGACAAAGATGATAAAGATAGAGAGAGGGGGTTTGAGGAAGAAAAAAAAACCGGAAAAAAAAATGTAAAGAAAATTAGAAAGAAAAAGAAGAATAGTGAGTTGGAGGATATGGAGACACAAGAAAATATTGAAGAACAAAAATTTGAAGAAGAAGAAGAAAAAGATGACGAGAACGAATATAAAACTGAAAAAAAAAAAAGATAATTGGAGAACAATAAGAAAGAGAAGAAAACAAGAAGTAGTAAATATTTTGTACATTTGAAAGCGAACGAGGAAGATTATGTAGAAAAGATGAAAAAGAGAAGACAAAAATAAAACACATTAAGATACAAAAATAAGAAGTAGAGAAAACAAAAAGGATGAATTAAAAAAAATTATACTACTTATGTTATTAAAATCTTTAATTAATTAATTAATTTAAAAAATATTGTACCCGCACAAGGTACAGGACAACCACCTAGTTTTAGGTTAATTCAAAACTTGAAATTGATCTAGTTCTTTTAGTGTACTAAAAATAATCCCATAAAATACCTAGTTGTGTTACGAAAGTGATATTTAAGTTAAATATTAATTTAACTTTAGAGCAATGACACAGAAATTCGGGTAAAGATTTGAACATTCTATAGTGTTAATTTATGAACTTTCGAGTGTTTTATTTAACCAAAAATATTGTTTTAAACGATTTATGTTTATTACAGAAATTGTCTTGTAATAACAATGTGCAAACGGGTACTAGAGATCTCCACCACATCAGTTTTACAAGATAAATCGTCATGGAAAAAAGAACAAGAGCTATGATGATAAGGACACTATTTTAATAATCAAAAGTTAAAACTATTTTGGACAAGACACGAAAGCTCATTGCCCATTATATGCCTATTTGGCTATAAGATGACACATTTGTATCTTGGGTTTGAGACCGTGACGTTTACCATCTTCAAGACTAGGGTAGTTTCACAGAATTGCTACGGATGTCGGATGGATATCCAAAAAACCTTTTTTTAAGTCGTGTAACATGGAAAACTAAAACTGAAGTTCAAAGTTTCGAAATGATAGGAAAACGACAAAAGTCACAAAACCATCCATTGATCCATGGTTTTACTGGTTTCACAAGAAGATAGGACTCTTTTCTTATCTTTTTCACGTTCTCACTCATATTTAGCCTACAGTTTTCATATTTGGAGTTATTGTGGTTCACTTTTATTTATTTGCTTATTTCTGAAGTTTAGCTGCTCATGTTTAACTTTACATGATTTGTCTCCACTTTTGGTTTGCCAAAAATTTTCGTTGAAGAGTTCTTTCAGTTTATAAAAAATAATCCATAATTTTCTTTAATGATTTGGAACATTAAATAAAACTGTGTATTTTAAAAGTTTCTTATGTGTACTTAGATCACTGATGACATCAGTGTTAGTAAAAACCATTAAATAGCAAGCAAACAAAATCCATTGACTTATTGGAGTACGGAATTATTGACTTTCTCCCACTTCATAATCATTCATCAATAATGTTATCGATTTATATATTATAATTGTTGTTATTTTCTGTGGATAGCAGCTTATTACATTAATTACATGTTTTGGGAGTATATAGTAAAATCAACACACTAATATCTCTTGTGTTGCTTGAGTTGACACCTAGGATTTTTTAAGCATCCTAGAGTTGACACCTCATTTAAAATCAACAACTAATCAAGACATTTTAAATAATACCAGTCAGCTGAAAAAATTAAACACGTCACTTTGCAAATCTCTCTCCTCTCGCTCAAACTCCGCCGTTTCGATTGATAACTTGTTTTGTTCATCGATTCTTTCACTCCGATAAAAATCTATAAATCTGAATCCGAAATCGAAGCTTGAACCGAGTGTGGCAGTGTTCTCTCCACGTAATCAGATCCAGAGAGAGGAAATTAGTGTAGTTATGAAGAAGAAATTCGGGAAGGAGAAGAAGGATTCAGCGTATGTTGCTGCAGAGATTGACTGTAAGTGTGGAGCTAAGGTCAATGGTAAACTCTAAGTTAGAAAGTGGAGAATTGTTTCAGAGGTCGAAATGACTCTACGCCCAGAGGCTCGGTGTTGGAGCTCCGGTTTACAAGGCCGCCGTTCTCGAGTATCTCACCGGCGACGGAAGTTTCTCGATTCTTTATTAATCTGCAATCTCAATCCCATACATGTATCCTCCATTCATTTTTTATTCAATCCTTTCTGGCATTCAAATGTGGCGAGAAACGCGGCTGCGATGATCAGAAAGCTTGTAACTTGATGATCTGGGTGTTGGGTAGTCATCTAAAGTTCAACATAGCTTGGTATTTGATCCGTGATATGTTTCATGTTTCAAGGAATACTAGAAAGGCCATGTTTCTCATGATAGACAGGTTAAAGTTTCGTCTTCTTTTTAGAATTTCTGTTCACCTTAAGAAATGAAAAAGTTCCTCTTTTGTTGAATTTGTTTGTGATATAGAGATTTTACAAAGTATTGAATTGGTTTGTCTTGCTATTGAGTGTAGATATGCTGCTTTATAATATGCCTCTTGATTTTGTGATTATTTTGTGAAGCTTAGGTTTGTGCTTATTGTTTGTTGCTCTAACCAATTTGGTTTTTTATTCTATCCACTGTTGATTTATTTCCCCTCAAACTTCGCTTTGTTTCCTTAGATGTCGGATAATTTGGATAAAAGCTGAGAAGTTGGAGGATTTAGGAGCTAAAGTTACGGGGTTATAGTTGAGAAATTGGAAGAATTAGGAGAAATAAATTTACCTCTAAAAGAAATGTAGTTTTGATTTTGGTTAGTTTCAGCTATCTGATTTTTTCAATGGGTCTTCAATTGCCGTGGAGCTTTGATGTTCGTTCATGCTCTGAATAGCAAGAAAGATCTCCAAAACAACACCTCCGTGTAGATCATGTAGCTGATGATGTAGCTTGGAAGAAACAATACAAGAAGTTAGCTCTTCTGCCTCATCCTGATAAGAACAAGTTTAGCGGCACAACAAAGGCGTTTAAGTTGGTTTCAAAAGCTTTGCGTCTGTTATCTGATCATTCTAAGTGCATCACTTATTCTACGATTTATAAATTAAATTCATTACTTGAATCGTTTGTGTGAGTTAACGAAAATATTGTTGAAAGATTTGAAGTGTTAAATAATTCTGAAAATGTGTACACGTTGATGGCAATTAAATAGTAAGAAA